AGGAAGGAATCCTTTTTCCCTAGGTGTTAAAATGTTGTATATTGACCAATTAGCACAGAATTGCCCAGCCACAAATATCATGCTCATTTATAGTCAAAAGAATGTCCTTACGTTTTGTCTAATGACAGAGAAAAACCAAGAAAGTAAGGAAATCAGACTCTTCAAGAACCTTGCTTGGGAGGATCTGAATTTATCTTGATGGATTTCAGAGCTACCTTCATGTTCCAGGTAAAGGAATGACATTGAACCAGGGTTTGCACTCCCTCAGGTCCACCCAGCACAAGATGCATTCATCTTTGCCAGGGACCATAAGCTTGGCAAAGATGTTATTCATCCATGTTCCCTAGCAGTTGTAATGAATATGACTCAAAAGAGAGTTACTGGACTGGAGTAATGCAGTGACCGTTTAGGTCTCTTTTGTCTCGATAGAATAGTTCAACTTAGTGATGAGCAGAAAAAGTCCCTACACACACACAAAGGAAAGAAGAAAGACCAGAAATAAGCTGATATAGATATTCCTGGAATAACCTGTAGCTACTCTTTAATTCACTCACTTCTAGTGACAATGCTTGCCATGGCTGTTAAGTAGAAAATCAAGTACCTGAGACGAGAGCTTCTTTTCAGAGGAACTTTCCAGCTCTCACCAAATACATTCACGTTCTTCACCCAAACGCCATTTGGATTTGTGAAGTCATTTCTGGATCTCCCATCAAAGTCACCACACAAACCTTCCACTCTGCCTTTGTAGGTGTTGGCCAGCTTTATATCTAGGGAAAGTCAGAGGAAAAAGAAGCCATTACACAGAAATCATTGCCTCTGAGTGTATGGAGGAGGTGGAAAGCAAGGCCAAGTGCCAAATTTCGTGATCCAGATTGAAGCTGGTAATGTGACATGGGCCTCATACATAGGATATGAGCACAGCCCTGAATACAGATATTAATATATGTATTAACAGGACTGTTTCCATGCTCTGCAACACGGATCATGAAAAAAAGTAATTTCTTGCAGTAACTTCTTGTAATTATTACATAACATGACATCACTGTCTGAGGACTCTTGCTGCATGCTGCTTACTGCTTTGCAACAAACTGAATACGTCACCCACTTTTCGCCCTTCAGTTACAATCCACTTGATCGCTGAGAAATAGAATTGCTACAAATAGACCCTTTCTTTCTGCAGTTGGAATTCTAGGGTTTGGACTGATGATCATCTGAATACATAGCCTGTCACTCTCACCTTACACTCAGAAATAACATAGCTATGTGCTGTTTTAAATCAGGAGTAACTGCTTTGGACAGAGGAAGTAATGTGTGTTCAGCTTACATGAGGGACTTGTGTATACACCATACAAAAGTCGTGCTGAGAAACACTGAAAATGGGGTTGGAGTAAGCTTGAGTGGAAGCATGTAAAAGGATGCACCCACAGAGTATATCTGGAGAACCTCAGTCCTATGAATCCTATTACTGAGTTAAGCTGGAAAAGGGGCAGATCCACCCATTCACCCTGTTCAGCAATTATAAGTGATTTACTTTTGTTTTAATAAAAACAGGCCTTACTTAACATGAAAAAAGTATAACAGTCTGACTCTAGATCTCATTTCTCCTAAATTCAGGGGGATCCAGATAGATAAATGAAAATTTTACGTTTTTTCTGGTTCCTAGGATATACTTATTGTTGTAATTCTCTGGAATGTCATATCACAAAGGGCCATGGACTCAAAGGGTGAGGGTTTCAAATTTTGCCTTGGGTTTAGACCTCTTTTGGAATGTAAACTTTTTTTGAGATAGTGCATAATTTTTTCTGCACATGTTGGGTTTTTTTTTTTTGGTTGTTGGTTTGGGGTGTTTTTGGGTTGTTTTTTTTTTATAACTTACCTGCATTTTGATTGCCATCAAAGCTCAGGTATAAGCCAAAATCTGTCTCCAGATAAATTCTTGTTGTCCTCTGATATATACGAATACCTTCATGAGGCCGAAGAGGAGGTCTCACCCTCACACCATCCAACTAACAGGGAAAGAAGAAATTAAAATTCATTATATATATGCCAAATTAAAATCTGGCTTCAGTACAGGTCAATGCTGCAAATCAACACTTCTCTGTTATTATGATAAATGTATCAGGTAATTTAATGAGTAAAAAACTGAGTATTTAATTTTGTAAAATTAACATGTATTGAGAGAAGTGAGTTGATATTATATTGAGCTAAAAATGTATATAGAGGCTATGCATACTCTTACACACCAATAAAGGGGAAGGAAATTAAGCTATCCTAGCATAATTCATACCTTTCCCTCCATTGATGAATATTTGTGTGGCTTTATTGTAAGTCTTGGGACATTTATTGTTTTATTCCTAAATCTCTATTAATTCATTTGTTTGAAGTAGAATTTTATCCTTCGTAGTTATAGAATCATAGAATTTAAGGGTTGGAATGGACCTTAAAGATCATCTAGTCCCAACCCAACCCAGAGTTGCAAAATTTTAGAAAGGTTGCGTCTAGTTTCAGTATAAGTTAGTTGTAGTGACTTCTGAAAATGTCAGAAGACCTTTACTAACAGTCTGTTTAGGAAACTGGAAAATAGCAAGCTTTAAAAACATTCAGGGTATTCCTTCTCAAATAAAAAGCAGTTAACTAACAGTGGCACACTTCTGGGGTTTGAAGCCTGATACCCCTTATAGAAAAAAAAGACTCAACACAACTGAAAATCTCATTGCGGTTGCCTCATAGCACTGCTGTAATAATCCAGTTAGTTTAAATACTTAAATTCTTCAAAACAGGCATTTATTACTCAAAGATGTTTTATTCCAAGGGAAGGCCTTTGTCCATGCTCTGCGGTCAGTGAGAGACTTACCAGAACCTGCTTGTGCTGCCTGAATCGCACTGTGTGATTGTAAACAGTGACAAGAATCTCTTTCAGGTTAGTGATGTGTCGACTGTGATGTAAAGGATAGTTCGTGCCTTCGATGCTGAACTGCGTCAGAGTATCAGGCAGGCCAGGGATGGTCTGAGTTAGAATATAGGTGTACTTCCCTTGAAAGTGGTGCACCAGACCATCAAAGGTGATGTAGTGTGGGTCGCCCATGATCTGGCATCTCCCAAAACCTAAAAGGGAAGAGCTTTATTACTCTCCAGTCTAAATGCGCATGTGCCAGATCCCACTAATGGGTCGGTTTAAAAAGTTGGATAAAAATGATTGCGTGCAGGTCTGTAGGTAAAGATGGATGCTCAGGCAACACCCTACTGAATGGACACTCAAATGGAGAGATGGACAGAGAAACTCATTCCTCTGCTGAGAACCAGTGCAAGGCAACAGAGCTGAACCAAAACATTAGGGTTTATAGACCTTATAGAGACTAAATTGTGCACGTTGGCTCTCTGCAGAGGAATGAATCTGCCACACAGCATGGCTTGCAGTGGGCTCTGAAAGATGTTGTTTTCATAAACCTCAACCACGTGCTGCTACAAAATTGAAAAACAATGTCTAATTTTGGCTGGCTCACTGCTGTCACTGATTTCTGCTGAGGTTACTGAACTGATCATTGGGTTCACCGCAACTATCATCTATGTATTCTCCTTGACCACTGAGTGCAAAGTAAACCATTACTATCCTTAAGACTGCTGGGGTGCCTCTGCTCTGGTATTTTGCCAAAATGTAGCAGGAGGACAGTGGATTCACATTAGGCTCTTGGACTGAGCCTCAATAAAGTAATGCCATGCTATTCTTCAGAATGGAAGTGTAGAGGCACTAGGCAACAAGCTATCTCCTGAACAATCCAACTGACCTAGAGAACACGAGATTAAATTTGCTTACCAAAGCAAGTGTTGAATGAAAGCATCAAAGCTCTCTGTCTGGCCTATTATTTGTTCAGATCTGCTCTGTCCTGGTTTTTGTTTGCCTTTTTTTGATCTATCTATCTATCTAGCTATCTAGCTATCTAATTTTATGTTTGCAAATCAACATGCAATGGAAAAACCAGGATCATTGTGAAAGGATTCACAAAAATATTTGAGTTCTGATTTTGGTAGATTCAGTGCAAATACTAATTTTTTTTTTAAACTGGTCAGTCTGAACTGTCAAATTCATAGATATAAATTTTCAAACCTCTGTTTCTTTTCCCTCTAGAAATTATCTGTATGGAACAGGAACTCTCTGTTATGAGAACTGAGGCCTTTTTGTATTCAATAATGTATCATCAATAACATTACCACTCTTATGGGAATTGCCATGGAAGAAAGAATGGATGCCCATATCCTTTCTCCTTCTCCAGCCCTCATGGAACACCAGGTTAAGACCAGCTTGCACATACCTGTTGGATTGCACTTGTGTTTTCCATTTTTGGTGATACATGTTTCTCTATTATCACAGCTATAGCTCTTACAATTGATGACACCATTCTTCATACACTGGCATCTTTGGGTGCAGTGTGGAGTTATCCATGTCTCTCCAGCCTGGACACAAGTTGTGTTAATAATATGTTATCAAGGTGCTCAGCTTTGTAATGCAATAAAAGTTCAATAGCCAAGGGTGTGGGGACTGGCTAGGTGCAACCTGTCCAGTTGGTGATTCCACAATTGCTCAATCTGGGTATAGTCTCACCAAGAGTCTGGGAGGGGCATCCCAGTCCATTTTTCTTATTGTCTTTGGCATGAGGATTTGAACACAAAACAGGGCTAGGACAAACTGCCTGAATAACTCTGATCGATTGACTGTTTTCAAATATGCCTCAGTTTTGGCCTCAGGTGTGAAGGACCAAGCAAGATTCTGCATCTTCTAATACCCAAGCCTGCAGCTTTTATGAATCAGATGAAAGGTACTTAAGAGGTAGACCCTGAGACTTTGATCTTGATCTCAATCTCTCTCATATTAAGATGCACAGGAGACCAACTTTCTGCAAATTTTGAAGACAAAGATTTGCTCCACAGACAAACTACTTACACTGTAATAATTGTTGTCATCATCCCTGCAGCCACAACTGCTCAGATGTACACACTTGCCGTTACTGAGCACATAATTATTATCACACTCACAGCCCTCTGTGCATTCTTCTGTATTGTCACAAAGTGAAGAGGCAAAAATATCATTGCATGTTGATGGGCAGGCAGAGACACAGTCCCTGTAATGGCTCCGTGATGGACAGGGCAATGCTGTGTGGGAGAATAAAACCAGTGTTAAATATATTTACAAAGTGCACTCCAAACACTGAAAGCTACACGATGGCCTATAAAATGGTACTACAAAATTGCCTTGTAATACCTGACTTTGATCATTAACCAGTTTTTATTTTCATATTTTACTTTTAAAAATAATCAGCAAAAACCGAAAACCAAGAACCCTCTATGGATCTGCTGATTCAGTTTTATTACAAGTATGTCTCAACTGGTGGCACCTGGTGCTAGACCATTCAGACTCAGTATTCTAGTTCAGCTGCAAATGCCTCTTTGGGCACTGCTGGAAAGGAGAATTTTCATGGCAAATTCCTTAGTATATTCAACCCTCCATTGATGCAAACCAGGTGTAAATCTAGCTTAACCACAGACATAAACACATGCAAGAGCAGCAGATATGCATCGTCAAACTGCAGATTCATGTAGCTTTATATCCTATTTCTGACAATAACTAGAGATGCAAAAGGGGACAGTTTAAGAAACAGGGTCAAATGGTTTGTTAGTCCAGCATTTTCTTCTACTCATGTCAAGGAGGCAACTAGGGATTGCTGATGGACCTAGTCTAAATTCATCTGACTCGTTTTTTAGCCAGTGAATTGTTTTGTCCTCCACAACATTATGTGATAATTAATCCCACAATATAATACTAAATTGTAGGGGGAAAAAGCAACCACAAAAAAGCAATGAAAAGAAACTGACTGTGTAATCTTTACTTATTTTGAAATAGTTTTTTTGAGTAGCTTTGTTAAATGGATGTAGTGAGGCACATGGTCTAGAAATTAATCTGAGAACACGGCCCTTAATAAGCAACTGGGCAAATTGCCAGTTTTCATTCAAAACATAGTGAGTGGCATTGAGCACTGTGTCCTAACATAGTATGCCACTCTCTTTTGCTGTTCTGGTTATAATATTTCTCTGGTTTAGGCTCACTCCAGCATCTCATGGCAGTCATTTGGCTATGTCATTCTAACTCCATATTAATATCCATAACTTAACTAGTCCTGGGTTATCACTGGGTTTAACAGAAGATGAACACAGTTCAGTGCAGTAATGGGATAATAATAGTATGTGTCAGGTTTTTCTCCTGCTTGTGTACTTACGGCAGAATGTGCTATTCCTCCATTTAATGGAAATTCCATGACTCCTGCAGGTGTCCACATAGACTTGAACTATGTCACAGAGAGCAGACTTCATGCCATCATACTGACACATGTCATAGATGCAGATCTCTATGAAATCTTCAGGATTGACTAGGTCATGACATGCTTTGAATTTGTCTGATTTTAGGACATTGCATTGGCTTTCGATGTCTGGTTTATTCTCAGCAGTGCAAGGAGGATCATGATCTTCTTTTAAGTCTGGCAAACAACTGCAAGAAATCACAGACACAGCTGGATTTAAGTTTCAAAGACATGTATAAGACAGAGACTGAAATGGAGAAGTTTCTTTCTACTGAAAGGTAGAAAAGGCTAAAGACTGCAGTCTTCTTTCTGTCTATGAATGCAAGACTAGGCAGAAGTAGACTTGCCTGACAACAACCATCCTGTGTCTGACACTAGTTACTCTCACTGAACTTGACCCTGACCAGAGGATTGACTTACCTCAGATCTGTCTTGTCACTTCAAATTTGTGTGCTGATCTGGACTGACACGGGCTGACCCTGGCTTCAACCTGTGGGCCTTCCCTGCTTGCCTTGCTCAGGTAGCGTGGCATGGACTCTGGCTAGTGAGGCCACTATCCTCTCTGTCTTATTACATATGGCTCCCTGTCCCCTAGGGAGCAGATGGCCCTCACCATTCCCCAGCACCATCATCCTGCTCTGGCTGTTATCAGTGTAAAATAAACAGAGGCTGCATCCACACTGTGGACTGCCCAAAGACTACTTCCCAAAATGGTTATGTAAAGCAATAAACCCACTGTGGTTTCCTTCTGGCCTGTGCAGTGGTTTCCTGTGGGGGTGGTTTTTTTTTTTTAGCTACAAATTCAAGGAGAGAGAGGACTCCTATAGATTGCTTGCATGTTACAAAGTAGCAGACAGTCAAAACAGCTGAAAACAACTAACTGCTTCCCAAAGCAAGATGGAAGATATGATAAGAAGTTAACATTTACCTCTTGTCACTGTCTTCCTCCACTTTCCAGCTATTTCCAAACTGTGAGACACTGGCAGCTGTACCATTGGGCAAGAACAGGTCATCTTCATGTTTATTATTGAAGTTACCACACATGCCCTGCACCTGCAAATGAAAAAGAACCATATTCTCAGCATGACCTGTTCACATCAACTTCCACGATAATTTCTTATTCATTGCCTATGAATTGATGTGACCAAACCACCACCAACCAATCTTGTACCAGACATTTCAGACACTCTGACTGCACTCAGAGAGAAACAAAATAGAAATTGTAGTAAATCTGTAATTCCCTAAGGCTTCAAGGTTTTTAATTTGCTAAGTGAGATGTATTCCTCTAGCCAGATAATCTTCTGTAACTACCCCCTTAGCAGGGGAAGTTAAGTACTAGGAAGGAAGTACAAGGAAGTTGTTGTGCAGAGAAAACATAGAAAGGAAAAAATTGAAGTGTGTTACAATACAGATACAAAGAAAGATGCAATAGCAGATCACAAGAATAAAAGGAAATGAAAGTAAATGCATGAAGCAGCAGTTTTGAAACAGCACCAGATGTTTACATACTCAATCTTACCTTTGAGAAATAAGAGTGTGGGAGGGTGATCTCCAGATGGTGATTGCCATCGTATTTCACTGTCACGCCAAAGTCAGTTTTCACTACTATAAATCTGCCAGCATTTCCTATGGACACTCCTCGCACTCGGTTCTCCACTGGAGTGTAGACTCTTTCATTGTTCAGCTGGAAAGACATGTAATTTGTCAGTATGAACATTCTTACATGACAGCTTTTCTGCTCACAGTCTATATTCCTAGCAGTGCTGAAGATCTCTCTATGACAGTTTTAGCTCTTTACACTTCCACATGTTGCACGTTCCAACATGGGTTGCAGGAATCAGCCTTTTAGCTGAGGAGAGCTGGGCAGGACCCATAGCCTGTGCCTTTAACAGGGAGCTGGAACAGTCCCCAGTAGTGAGCAAGCTCTTACTCCCCCATAGGGTAGATTCCCTGCCTCTGATACTGCCATGGAGCCCCGTGTTATTCTAAACCAATACTTGTCTTCCCTCTGCTCCTGTTAGTTTGTTGTAGGTGATTGGGTTGACAAGGGCTGTTGAAGTGGGGAGCCCCATACTTTAATTCAGGCAACAGTTCTCCAGTCTGGAAGCTCTGGGCTCCATCTCCAGCATATGGCCAGTAAAACAGTAAACACAAACCTGAAGCCTTGGGAACTAGTGAAAAATTGAATTTCCTCATGACATCCAGTTAATGGAGGTGCCCACAAGTATTAAGCATATGTGTACATATTCCTTAGGAAACATGAAGATCCTTTTTCCTACAGCTACTGTAAGTGAGCTAATTTTAAGATAATTCTTGCCAGAATAAAGAACACCATCACCTACCAGGATTTCTTGGTTTTTCTCAAGGGTGATTCGTACATTGTGCACATCTATATAGACTTCTTTCAGGTATGTGGCCCCTCTTAGTCCTCTGTCTTCATTCTTTCCAAGGATAGTTATAGGAATGACATTGCTGTTGGTGTCAACAACCTCAACCAAAGTGTATGTGCAGGTTCCCACAAAAGTGTACTTCATTCCATCAAAAGTGAAATAATGGGGATCTCCTACCACTTGACATGTTGCTTGCCCTGAAGGTGAAAAAGACTATGTGAGAACTTCATCCTGGATTTTGCCATGGACTCAGATAACCAAAGGAGTTTGCATTAGAGTAGCAACCTAATCCAGATCATTATTATGTGGGCAGACTTTCAGGTCTCAGGTTTATGCCATGCCATTTATTTGGAAATAAGGAATTTCCAGAAATCTAAATTTAAATTGCAAATTACATACAAAATGGCAACTTGGCAGCAAATGAACTTCTTTGTACATTTGCATATGCAGTCGTAGCTATTATTTATGATAGTTGAGAGTAATACAGAGCATTTCTACTCATCTATACAAAAATATATAACTACCTGTATAAATATAGGTGTAAAAAATAAAATAATAAAATTGCATCTATATACATCAATACTTAATGCACTTGTCATGACACAGACCCTCAGAAATGCAGTTCTCAATTATTCCCAACTTTGAAGTTTGCAATACTGGTGATCTGGAACTTGAATTTGTATTATCAGGACAAATAGAACCCAAGTGACCTTGCAAGCTTTTGGGCAGCATCAGTTTTGGCTGATATTCACTAAAACAGAAGGGTGTCTGTGCTTGCAAGACGGATCAGCATGTGTTTTCATCTCTTAGCACTGGCAGCAGTGAGTTGGGACTTCTTTATTATCACATATGAAAATATATTTTTAATAAAACTAGAAGGAGAAGAAGATCTAATTATGGAATTGACATTGGGATGATCTTCAGGCAGGGCTTACCATTGGAATGACAGCCCAGCACTCCATCCCGAATACTGCATTCCTCTAGGACTCCACACTCCCAGGATGTACATTCAATGTTGTTATTGGCCTTGCAGGTGCAGCGTTCAGTGCAGGAATTACTGGTGAACCAGCTTTCATCCAGCTGAGTGGAAAAAGAGTGTGAAAATATATACTCTAAGATAAATTGGAAAGTAAGACCATAATGGACAATCAATTACTAGTATTTGGATGTGCATGATATATGATTACTTGGTCAAGTGTCATAACACAGCTCATGAAGGTTGGCAAAGTAAGTCTATTTTGATATTATTAATGGTGTAAATAATAATTGTGTAGAGTTATTAATGTGGCATTTTCTCTCACGGGGAGAAAGAATGAGGTCCGCTGTTCTTTTTTTAAAAAAAAATTTCTTTAAATGTCTGAGGTAACTTGCCTCGTGATACTGGTTCTCTTCATCAACACAACCACAGCTGCTTTCTGGCACACATTTGTCTCCACTCAAAACATAGCCTTCCTTACAGAAGCAACCTTCCACTGGTGTAGAACTGCAGGAATCAACTGCTGAGATGTTAAAACAGGTAGTGGGACACCTAGTACCACAGCCCTTGTAGATGCTGCCTCCAGGACAGGACATTGCTAGAGAAAGAGAAAAAATAAGGTCACTTAAAAGGACAAAATAATGACAAGAGTTTTCCTGAAGCTTTCACTGTTTACTCCTGAAAATGTACAAAATTGCTGTTAGAAAATCTGACACTGGAGAGTGCTGCGTACAAAGGATTTTCTTGCCAGGTCAGATGAGTGGCTTTTGATAGAGGGAGATAGGACACATGGGCCACCCTTGCATTTCACCTCACAAAGAAGTCAAACACTGCAGGCTCATGTTGAGGGTAGGTTTGATGTGATTGTACACGATTAACTTTCCTTGGTTCAGTAAATCTTTTTCTGCAGGTTTAAAGGCATAAAGTCACTCCATTAAGGGAACAGAAGGATATGTTCCTATACTGCTGATATGTTCCCATTCCTGTAGTTACTATTTGAACCCCAGCCATATATTTCAAAATAGAACTTAAAGTTGCACTCTGTCTTTCACTGAGATCCCTTGAGGAAAATATATTATACTGTCACAATTCTCCTGCCCATGGTAGAATTGGGCCTCTATTACTCAAAGCATGATCCCCAGGGATAACATTACATTTTACAGAAATCATGAAGCATTTCTCCATTTCTGTAATGGAAAAAAAAAACCCAATAAAACTGTTTCTGGCTAGATTCTGTTATAAATCTCTACAGATAAACTTCTGTCCTTACAACAGGATCTCTTGGTCCTGTCAGGCAATTACAGCCAACATTTCCAGTCATCTAGCCAGACTACCTGCCCTTTGTCAGGTTCTTAATTGAGTTTTTATTTTAATTACTGATGGAGAGAACACTTGAGACTCAGTCTTCCTAATGTTACTGAGTTGTATCAACCACTGTAATCAAGCCATAGATATTTGAGCCCTGAACCATGGCTTCAGACTATGGACTCCAACCCAAATCATTCTATGGTTCTATGATTCTATGTTTGCCTAGCAGAAAACTGTGCAGTATTGCTTAAAATCAGCACCAGTGGACCCCCTGAAAAGCTTCTAAGAAATGTGAGTTCATTATATGAAATTTCCCTTGAGATCCTTTGGAAGATAATTAATTGGGGGATAAGTGATAATACTTGATTTCTTTTATTTAGAGAGAAATACTTGCAAGCTTCCTAGAAACAGCTGCTTTTCAAATTCTCTTGTTAAACTATTTTTTTAACCAAAAGCCATGAATAAACATTTGTGTATGGAGGACTACCAACTCCTCTTACACTGAGGATAGTAAATTTTCAATGAAGCAAAGCAACTGTTACTTCCCCATTGCAGAAATTCACATAAGATACAATTGGATGTAATCTAACTTTTCCAAGAAACTAATAGGAAGTTATTAAAACTAAGGATTAGACTTGTGTGTATCCAAATGTTCTTGAGAATTAGTAATTTATACAAATACTGGAATGATGCTGAAACTGCAGCAGGCTCATGACATGAGAAAAGATAGACTACACTCAGAACATGTCATAAAATAAAATAACATGCATGAAGAGTAGAGTACGATGAAGTTTAAATCCAGAATAGATATTTATATCACAACACTCACGGCAAAGAGTAGCATTCCTCCACTCTATGCATATCCCTGCATTGATACACGATTCAGCATACGCCTGCAGTCCATAGCATAAGGATGTTGCCTGTCCACCAGTGAAACACATGTCATAAACACAGTTTTCAAAGAAATCCTCTGGAGGCACTTTGGTGTGACAGTCCTTGAAGATTCCTGTGTAAATCAAGAACAATATATAGAAGGATAGAAAAAAACAATTGGGATGATAGGATCACTACCACAATCTTTTTTGTGTCACAGCAAACATATTATGAGTGCTCCAGGCTAACTTTGTTTAGTAAGTTAAACCAGCACTTGAAAGAAATGCATGATGCACAATGAGAATGGATCCTCTGAATCAAGTGTTCTTCTTTTTGCATGCTGCAACATAGCTTACATAACATAAGGGCTGCTGCCTGAGCAAACCAGTAATTCTACACAACTGCAGGGGCTGTCCAATGCAGGGAACGTGGACAGAATTTCAGGTAAACTATCTGACATACACTGACAGTGCCCTCTTAACTATTTCTCTGAGCAAGCAGAGTAGAAGTCACTATAAAGCAAAGAGCAGTTATAGCTCCCTGCACACATTCTCAGATAATCTTCATGGACACATTGGCACTGACTGAACAGATGACTTATCTTGACCAAGCACCTATGAGTTTTGTGTTGGCCCTTTGCAGTGGAGATTTTATATGCTTCTAATGTGACCTCAGAAAATCAGACTACAGAAAAGTGGTAACACGAGCTGTAACATGCTCCATCGCATGACTCACAGAGAACTACCAACATACTACCTGTTGGGTCTGTGATCATGCCACATGCTGTGTTCTTCTTTGCTTCACTCTCCAGCACAGGATCACATTGCTCTTCTGTCCCACCGCTGGAGCATCTGGGGAAAGCAAGCACAATCAAATGTGTGTTTGACATTTCTTACTATCAGATTTTTAATGGAAGACTGACCCACAACAACCCTGCACAACAGAACACATTTTATTTCAGTCACAAGACTTTATCCAGCTTTTTTGAAAAGCTGATGTCAGCCTGGTTACTGAATGGACTCCTTTTTTGATCCCTTCTAGGCTCTTCAAAGGCTTATTCTTAGCTGAAAACAAAAAAAAAAAAAAAAAAAAAAAAAAAGAAAAAAAGAAAAAAAAAAAAAGAGCTACAGAATCCAAACAGTTATGGTTTCCAATCAGGGAATTGGTCTGAAGTCCCATCCCCCCTCATACTCAACAGACACTTCCTGTTTTGGAAAACGAGACTTAACAAGCCCTCTTATCATTCTCTGGTTTACATAAAGGTGAAGCTCCCAACTTCTAATGGGCAGCTGGAAGATGTAGAATGGAACTGGAGGACAAAGCCAGCAAGTGGATGGATATTTGATTTTAATGAGTTTGGTTAGCAATGCCATGTGATTAAATTATTATACATACATGGTGTTATTTTCAGGCACAAGCCAGCTTTCTCCAAGATCAGTGGAACTGGTTGCAACATCACCATTTGGCTTTATATTGTCATCCTTTGGATTACCATTATAATTACCTGTGAGAGGAAAAAGAATTATGGGACACATGGAGATCAAACCTGTAGGACAGACCTAGGTGACAGGCTGTAAAATAAACCACAGTTAGGGAAAGTATATGTGCAACATCAATGTGTACTGGGCAAAATAAGAAGAGCAGAACTGTGTTTTAGACTTTGATTGCTGACAAGAGATGCCATTCAGACGCTTGTGGACTTGAAGCAAGAAATCTCTAAATTCTTATGTAACTAGATTACGTTGCATCCAAGAAAACTTCTTAGCTAAAAAAAACCCCGAACGACTCATTTCCTTGGATCCTACGCATAGAATGTTGGGCTAAAAATCAAATGGTGCTATTTACACTATTATATTCTTAGGTAAATTTCCTGAATTGAAAGTGTGAAAAACCCATGGACAGATAACTGAACTAGGAAGTTTCAGATGATCCAAACCAAAAAATAATCTGAAACTCACAAGACAAACCACTCTTTGTCCCATTTTCATCTCAATGTGCATTTCATATAAACACCTGACTTCCCAAATGTTGTTCTAACAACACCTGCTCCCGGCCAGGCATTAGCAACATTGCTGATGAAAAATTACTGGTCACTACTAATTCCAGTGAGCTCTTACTCTTACTAACTGCATAAGTTACCTGTGACTCTTTTTTACTTTGCTATCCTATTGCAACATAACTTCTTACAGAACACAGGCCTGTTGTGCCTGATCTTTCTCACAAGACTCTAAAGGCCTCTTTGTTTTGTATCATACATAGCACTTGAAATTTTATGGTATTTGAATTTGGGAAATGAAAGTTTGAATTTACTTTCCTATTCATCAAGTCTGTCAGCTCAGGATTATCCATACTGGATTCCTGCCCTTGCTTTGTTAAATTGTAGATATTACTTGCATTAACTGAAAAAAAAAGTAGGTAAAAATAAAGCTTAGTAGTCTGATTTTTCTTTTTCTTTTTTTCTTTTGTGATTCCTTTGATTGTTTAAGCATAATCAGTCAGGTTGTATAAATACCTACTAAGAGTACAAAAAAAGAGCAGTGGAAGGATATTGACAGGAAGCTATTCTAAAGATTTCTCTCTGCTGTGGAAACAGCCTCAGGTTTTTATGATTCACAAAATGAAGCAGTATGGCATTCCCACACCCAACAAAAGACAACTACATGAGATTGTAAGTAATAGAAAAACGTATCTGTAGAATTCTTGAGTAGCTCCAAGCAAAATCATTACTCTTCCAAATTTAAAACTGTAGAACTGAAGTGATTTTTTTATTTGGCTAAAAATAACATTCCAAGTGGATAGCATGTTACCAGGAATTTTTTAGGTATTTCTTAGAAACTTAAAAAGTCTAACAAGTCTTATTCACTGCTGTAAATTCTAATCAATGTGACGAGGACTAGCTGTGTGTAGAATAAGCATGACATACTAAGAAAAAAGGTGTAAGTAATCACCAGCCTTCACAACTCACTAAAAAGTGTCAAAGCCTATGACTTACCACAAAGGCCACAGAGCAGACCGCTGTAATTGGAGGGCACAGAGACTTCTGCATAGTGTTTTCCATCATATCTCACCCACAGTCCGAAGTCAGTTTCCAAAAGAATATATGCACCACTGCTTTGAATACTGATCTTGTTTTCTATGTATACAGGCAGGTTCATTCTGCGACCATTCACCTGTACAGCAAGACGCAAAAGTTGGTGTATAGCTGCTGGGACTCCTACAGCTACCAACAGCTATTATAGATTACTGAATGGTATGATCTTGTGCACAAGGAAACTGAAAGTAATTAAACATTTAATCTGAGCGAATTTGTTGGACATCTCATTAAAAGAAGTACATCACTAATATAAAGAGAAAGTTTGCTATAAACTCTACAGAAAAAATATTTCATTACCTACATGTCAGTTAAAAATATTATATATGTCGTTTAAATAAGTTTGTTTCTTACATTCAGTTTCTTGTTTTTCTGCAGAGAAATCTGGTAGCCATAGACTTCCACTTGCACTGACTTCACGTAAGAGACTTGGGTGTTGGCTCCTCTGTGCTCATTTGTCGTGGACACATGGAAGTATGGAATCCCTTCAGAGACATTGCACACTTTGGAGAGGGTGTAAGTGCAATTTCCCATGAAATTATGGACCCTGTGGTCAAAAGTCTTATAATGTGGATCACCAGAGGCACTGCAGGAAGCACGGCCTGGGAAGAAAGAAAGACAGACTAATTGCCTCAGAATCTTCACAAGACATTTGCAGTTTTGTGGTTCACAAATTCTTTGTTTTATTTTGCATTTGCAGCGCAATAATAATAGTGATGGCATCAGGCAACAGCATTCCAAAGGCCAATCCAGCCCTCTCTCTTTGAACCAATAAAGAATCGGTACTCTTATATTGTAGTGCCTGGCAAGGTAATCATGGGTGCTGATGTTGATGGACCTAGCACAGGAGAGAGCTAGAGGAGATGTACAGCAACACAAAAATTTTGTTGCAGGCAGCTGGTCCACCCTTCCCAGCCACCCCAACACCATGGTAAGGGGACTCGAAGATGCTCAGGACAGGCCTTGCACAGTGAATTTTCATCGAAAACCCTCCCACCAGGATAGCTGGGACAAAGAAGGAGAGCATATGCTCCATGGTCATAGACATGGAGAAAGATAAACAAACACTTCTAAAAAACAAAAGAAGATCTAGGACATCACAGTACCTGAGCCTGGTGTGGGACTTGTTGGTGACGTTGTGCTTGGCAAGGGGATCGTGGGCATTGGTGTTGATGGACCTAGAAAGCCAATAGAGGAGATCAGTACCTACATGGGA